AGTAGTAGTAGTAGTAGTAGTAGTAGTAGTAGTAGTAGTAGTAGTAGTAGTAATAGTAGTAGTAGTAATAGTAGTAGTAGTAGAAGTAGAAGTAGTAGTAGTAGTAGAAGAGTCTTAGAAGAGTAGTAGTAGAGTAGTAGTAGTAGTCGTCGTCGTCATCGTCGTGTAGTCGTAGTAGTAGTCGTAGTCGTAGTCGTAGTCGTAGTCGTAGTCGTAGTAGTAGTAGTAGTAGTAGTAGTAGTAGTAGTAGTGGTAGTAGTAGTCGTAGTCGTAGTGGTAGTGGTAGTGGTAGTGGTAGTGGTAGTAGTAGAAGTAGTAGTAGAAGTAGAAGTAGAAGTAGTCGTCGTCGTCGTAGTGGTAGTGGTAGTGGTAGTAGTAGTAGGAGGAGGAGGAGGAGTAGTAAAGTAGGAGTAGCAGTTGCAGTCGCAGTTGCAGTTGCAGTAGCAGCAGCAGCAGGAGGAAGAGGAGGGGTAGTAGAACTACTTGGCAGGGAGTACGCAATTGTCTGGACTCCGCAACTGGGATTTCGCGGCGGCGCCAACGTTCATGTGAGCTTGCGTCTTGGACGTTGATGGTGAGAAGCGCCGAATGCTTCAGAAAGGCTTGGCGGAGAAGGTGGCCATCGACGTGACGTTGGAGGAGTGCCCCGGACGGTGTGTGCAAACGCCAAGGATGACCACATCGTCCAAGGAGCTGGAGACGCGCGACGTCTCAACTTTCAAGAGGGGAAGGCGGGAGTCGCCAGCCAACTGGCCAAGGAGGTGAAGGAGGCAGCGACCACGCAGTGATGTTGAGGGTTGATCGCCCTCAAACCATGGAAAGCGCTTCAAGAAGAAGAGCCTTCCTATTGTCTGGGAATTCCACATGAAGCAGAAGACGCCCAATTCCCGGCCAGCCAGCCGAGGAAGGCAGCTATATGGCTGTCAAAGAAAATGGAAGCCAAGTCTACAGAGCGTCATTGCGTCTCTCACAGAAGTGCAAGTTTGATGTTGCGATGGCGAAGGAATTGTCAAACGCGCTCACTTCCCAAGCACTTCGCCTGAGCCGAGCGAATTAATCGATAGAGCGAAGGTCATGCTGATGGGGTGGATCCTCTGCGAGTCGTTGGAGGATGAAGACCTATAAGCCTATAAGTGTTTACGGGCGCCGAGTGAGTGAATGGGAAGCGCCTTCGGTATCGAAGCTGATCCAGTCTTGTCAAGTCTCTCAAGCTTTAAAGCCTTTTTAACGGCTTGGCCCACGCTCCAAGAAAATTGCGCAAGCGTCAGTCACTTTGTTCCTAGAGGGCGTGCGCAGCTCTTAATTCGGACGCGCGCGTGAAGGGCTTGCTGGGTTGCAAGCGGACGACTTCTTGATGGCAGGCCGCAAAGGAGATGCCACTCTAGACACAGCAGAGCAAATGTTTCGCTGGGGCAAGCGGGGCGCAAGAAAATTTGGGAATCCTTTGATTGGGTTTCTTTGGGGTCGAAGGATGGCATCATCCACCAATTGCGCGTTCAGGCGCAACCAAAAAGGCTTGCAAGAAGGAAAGTAAAAATTACAAACGCCGCTTGCGACAAGACGTGACTTGTTCATTCTTATTAGGTCTACCAGCGTCGCAGACAGCGGCAGCGTGCGCCAGGATTGGTGGAGCTAGGGGCGCCCTTGTACCGTGTCCGCCCCGCAAGCGCAGACACTCAAGGACAAATCGACCTCCGCGTTCAAATTCAACTAATGCGGCCTCCTGAGTGCGCGACAGGCCGCAGAGCATATTGAGCAAAGCTCGCGCGCCACACCGCTTTCTCACATGTTTCTGGGGGAACGCTCGGCGCCCACAAAGCCCCGAAAACAAAAATGGGCGGGTAACTTACATCGCCGAGGCTCGCCAGCAACGCGCGCCGGAGCGCTAGGATGGGCGGCCGCGAAAACGCCGCGAAGCAAAGCAGCGTAACTTAACATTGATGACCCACTGGCCAGCACTCTGCTTAGCAACGCCCCTCTCCCCGCTGGACTTGTGGGGACACACTCGCCTCACAGCCTCAGAGCGCCATCAAGGTGCTGGGCAAGGCGCGAGCGCTGCGCCTCTCCAGGTCGAGTTGGGGAGCCCCACTGCTGTGGCCTCCAACCCGAGGGCAGGGACATGACATTGATTTTGAGCCGCTGAAAGCGACCAAAAAGATAGCGACGTTTTTCGAGACACCAAATACAATGTTGACGAAGAGCGTGCAATGATGACCAATGATGACTTTCAGACAATAACCGTTGGGGAAATGCAAGAACGATTTCAAAACTTCAATTTATATATTCAATCATTTAAGTTAGGCAGGGTCGGTGATGATGAATTATTTGGGAAGCTTCGAATCAACGTCTCCCAATGTTTGAATGCTCAAGCCAAACTGGGGAGACGCCCCTTGAGGAGCAGTGTCGCTGCTGGTACCTCAAGTTAAACTTTTTCTTCCCGGTTCGGACGCCATGGAGAGCGCTGACGAACAAATCCGCCGCTCTGCTGAACAGCAGAAGCTGGAACGGTGGTGCGCTGCCCATGGGATTGAACGGCCCTCCGACTTGGCGTTTTACTTCGTTACCTACGAAGAAGCGCTGAAGCAGGGCCGCGCTGTGGCGGATGCCTGGGACCAGGCGCGCCGCGAGGCGGAGCTGGGCGCTGGGGCCTTGGCGCGAGACATCGTTCGTCGCGAACAAGTTTCGCAAGCTGCGCCGCGGCCTACCACATCTCCACCGTTGAGGCCACGAGCGTTTGCAGGGCCAGTCCGGCCCAGCACCCAGGGCCGTCAGTCGGGCGGCCCTGACGGCGGCGCCTTGACCTTTTTGCCCCAGTTGATGGCCATCCTTCTGGCGGTCGAGCCCCCGCCGGCGGCTCGCTTGGCTGAGATCACCGCCAACTTCGAGGCAAAGCTCACGCATGTGCTCCAGAAGGCGGAGGCCGCCACTGTGAAACGGGCTTTGCGCACGTGGCAAGAGCTTCAGGGGGTCATTGCGGCCGCAGGTGGAGGTATCCCGGACAAACACCTCCTGGCCACCTTCATCCGTGGATCGTCCGCAACCTCAAGTTGCCATTCGACCTCTCCGAAGTGGTGAAACCTCGGGCTGGTTTGGGATCGCGCCTCGGCCAGGGGCAGGCGCAGGCGGCGACTTTGGAGCCATCCATGGTCATCCACCTGTTGGGTACCCTGGAATCCACAGTTGACAGTCCTCACTGGCCGCTATGACTCACGGAAACAACGCCTGGGACACCAATTGCGCTTGGCCGGTTTGCACTTCTTCCAGGACCTCAACATGGCTTTGTGGGACGAACTGCCGACAGGCTATGCCTCTGCACGATGGTCCACTTGCATGGAGGAGGCTGACGAGCTCCTTGCTTCTGACCCTCAGATCCGCCGAGTTTCTACGGACTCCATCCCTGGCATGCCTGTGGTCAAGACCTTGCTTCCAGCTCAGGTCCAGATCATTCGAGCTACTGGCCAACGCCTCACTGCCGCGCTCCGGCGGAAGCGCCCGGCCCCAGCCGCGGCTGTCGGCCCGGTGACCGAGCCCACACAGGGGCCGAGGAACACGGTGTCAACATTTTCGTTCACCAGTCCTTCGCGGCCCGCGAAGCGGGCACGGGTGGAGCCTCCACCCAGGGCTGCTGCTGGCGGCAGCGCCCAACCGGTGACGCCGCCCAAAGCACCTCCGCCAAAGGTGCCACCTACGCTGCCTGTGGTTTCGCCCTCATCAGCTTCGGCATCTACTCCATCTTTGCGGGCACCACCACCTTTGCAGTCGACCTCACCTCGGGCATCTTCATCTTCGGCAGCAGCAGGCCCTTCCAGCGCGACACCTCCGGCCCCCAAAGTCAAGGCCATGCCCTCAGTGCTGCAACCGTCGCCGGAGCGGCCTCAGCACCTGCAGGAGGCAAATGACGCGGCCTTTGATGCAGCAGCACGGGACCGCTGGCGCCGGCCCGGGCACAGCGGCGCCCCAGAGCCTCCCACGCTCATCTTCCTGTGTGAAGCAGGCAACGGCTCTATCTATTTGGGCGGTCTGCCCACGGACCGGGCCTGGTTGGAGGCCCACCACATCGGCATGAGCCTCAGCGCTATGGACAAGATTGCCGCTGACTGTCGGGGAGGGGTCAGCGCCCGCCAGGTCTACCAATTTAACGTTCCTGTTGGCCATCACGGAGCCCTCCGTGACCGCCAGTTGAAGTTGGTGCTGCCTATCTTCCTGGCAACTCTGTACTCGGGCTACTCCGTCCTGGTTCATTGCATGGCGGGGGTGCACAGGGCCCCTGTGCTGGCTGGTTTGCTACTCGCATGGATTAGGCGGCGCTCCTTCGAGGAAGCGTACTCCCGACTGGAGGGTTTGCGGGCTATCGATCGAGCCGGTGTGCTCAGCCGGCGGGGCGGCTCTGACATCTTCAAATGGGCTCGGAGCCAGGTCAACATCGCACCACCGTC